TCACCCCACTATACCAGTGCCTCCCTCACCCCCTATACCAGTACCTCCCTCACCCCCCACCATAAGACCTCCCTCACCCCACTATCCAGTGCCTCCTCACCCTCACCCATCACCCCACCTCCCTCTCCCTTTATCCAGTACCCCCTCACCCCCACTATACCAGTGCCTCCCTCACCCCCACCCATGCCAATGCCCCTCCCCTCACCCCCCCACTATACCAGTGCCTCCCTCACCCCCCACTCCACAGTGCCTCCCTCCTTCCCACACCCCCATCAGTACCTCCCCACCCCACTATACAGTACCTCCCACTCACCCACACTATGCCAGTGCCTCCCTCCACCCCCACTATCTACAGTACCTCCCTCACACCCACTATGCCAGTGCCTCCCTCACCCCCCCCACTATACCAGTGCCTCCCCTCACACCCACTAACCAGTACCTCCTACCCCCCCTACCAGTACCTCCTCCACCCACTATACCAGTACCTCCCTCACCCCACTATACCATACCTCCCTCCACCCCCACCCATCACCAGTACCTCCACCTCCACTATACCAAGCCTCCCTCACCCCCCACTATACCAGTACCTCCTCCACCCCTGCCAGGCCTCCCTCACCCCCACTATGCCAGTACCTCCCTCCACACCCTGCTCTAGTGCCTCCCTCACCCCCACTATACCAGTGCCTCCCTCACCCACTATACCAGTACCTCCCCTCACACCCACCCCTATACCAGTACCTCCCTCACCTCCCACTACCAGTACCTCCCCACCTCCACTATACCAGTACCTCCTCCTCCACTATACCCGTACCTCCCTCCACACCAACTATACCAGTACCTCCCTCACCTCCACTACCTCCGATCACCTCCACTATACCAGTCCCTCACCCTCCTATACAGTACCTCCCTCCACACCCCACTATACCAGTACGTCCCTCACCCCACTATCCAGTACCTCCCTCACCCCTACCAGTACCCCCTCACCCCCCACTATACCCAGTACCTCCCTCACACACCTATCCAGTACCTCCCTCACCTCCCCATACCAGTGCCTCCTCACCCTCCTATCCCAGTCCTCCCTCACACCCCTATGCCTCCCTCCCACCCCCACTATCCCAGTACCTCCCTCACACCCACTATACCCAGTACCTCCATCACACCCCTACCTCCGATCACCTCCTACCAGTACCCCATCACACCCACTATACAGTATCTCCCTCACCCCTCACTATACCAGTACCCCATCACACCCTGCCAGTGCCTCCCCTCACCCCTCACTATACCAGTACCTCCATCACACCCACTATACCAGTACCTCCCTCACCCTCACTATAGTACCTCCATCACACCCACCTATACCAGTACCTCCCTCACCCTCCTATACCAGTGCCTCCCTCACACCCTACCTCGATCACCTCCACTATACCAGTGCCTCCGTCACCCCCACTACCCAGTACCTCCATCACACCCACTATACCAGTGCCTCCCTACCTCCACTATACAAGTACCTCTCTCCACTATACCAGTACTCCATCACCCACTATCCAGTACCTCCTACTCCACCTGCAAGTATCCTCACCCTCACTACTCCAGTACCTCCCTCACCCTCCACTATCCCAGTACCTCCATCACACCCACTATACCAGTGCCTCCTCACCTCCACTATACCAGTACCTCCCCTCACCTCTGCCTCCCTCCTCCACCTATACCAGTGCCTCCGTCACCCCCACTATACCAGTATCCAACACACCCACTATACCAGTGCCTCCCTCACCTCCACTATACCAGTACCTCCCTCACCCTCCTATGCCAGTACCTCCCTCACCCTCACTATACAGTATCATCACACATAGTGCCTCCATCACACATACCAGTACCTCCTCACCTCACTATACCAGTACTCCATCACACCCACTACCATTCCATCCCACACCCACTATACCAGTACCTCCTCACCTCCACCATCAGTACCTCCTCACCCCTCACTATACCAGTACCTCCCTCACCTCCCCTATACCAGTACCTCCCTCACCTCCACTATACCAGTACCTCCCTCACCCTCACTAATACCAGTACCTCCCTCACCCTCACTATGCAGTACCTCCATCACACCCACTATACCAGTGCCTCCATCACACCCACTATACCAGTACCTCCCTCACCCCCACTATACCAGTACCTCCCTCACCCTCCTATACCAGTGCCTCCTCACACCCACTATACCAGTACCTCCCTCACCTCCCTACCAATGCCTCCTCACCTCCCACTATACCAGTACCTCCTCCACACCCACTATACCAGTACCTCCTCACACCCCTACCAATGCTCCTCACCCCCACTATACCAGTACCTCCCTCACCCCTCCACTATACCCATTTCCTCACCCACTATACAATGCCTCCCTCACCCCCACTATACCAGTACCTCCCTCACCCACCCCTATACCAGTACCCTCACCCTCACTATACCAGTACCTCCCCTCACACCACTACCAGTCCTCCTCACCTCCTATACCAGTACCTCCCTCCACACCCACCTATACCAGTACCTCCCTCACCCCCACTATACCAGTACCTCCCTCACCTCCACTATCAGACCTCCTCACCCCCACTATCCAGTACCTCCCCTCACCCCCCACCATACCAGTACCTCCCTCACCCTCCCTATACCAGTACCTCCCTCACCCCCACTATACCCATACCTCCCTCCACCTCCCTACCAGTACCTCCCTCCACCCTCACTATACCAGTACCTCCTCACCCCCACTATACCAGTACCTCCTACCTCCACTATGCAATGCCTCCCTCACCCTCCTCTCCACCAGTACCTCCCTCCCCCCTATACCAGTGCCTCCCTCACCTCACTATACCAGTACCTCCTCACCCTCACTACCAGTACCTCCTCACCTCCACTCCCCATACCTTCCTCTTCTTTCTCCACCAGAACTACTCTACCTCCTACACGTAGCCTCTGACTCGCCCTCGTTATATTTCTCCTTGAAGCTGTGGTGAGAATTCTTTTGAGGAAGAGAATATCAAGACACAAAGACACAGGGTGGCTGGGAGGGAGGAGGAGGAAGAGGAGGAAGAAGGAAGGAGGGGCGAGGCAGTTATATCCTCCAGGCTCCCGTGAATGAAGTGAGAAAATCCTTTGTTGCTCCTGAAGGTCATCTCGCCTACGCCATGATATAGTTTAATAGTTTGTTTATAATATGATAAATTGCCTTCGTAAGCTGTGTATATATTTTTGTAATACTATTTTGATAATTATTTTTTCACTTGTCTGACTCGTAAGTAGAGAAGTACACACAGTGAGCATTAGTGATATGTTTTGTTTATACGATACCCATACCTTTATCAGTGTTATTTGTATGTCATACATTTCATTACTGCAATCATTCATCACCACACATCAACGACCTCCACACCCATAACCTTCACATCCACCACACCTACATCCATCTCCCCCTACATCCATTCTCAACTTCCACCACCCTTCACATCCACCATCATCCATCTCCCCCTACATCCATCTCTAACTTCCACCACCCTTCACATCCACCCGCATCCACTAGCCCATAATAATCAATAAACTTCTCACTTCAGTTTTCTTAGATATCCAGATTTTTTTATTTATTTTATATTTTTTTTCATAGAGGTAACAGTGTGCAGTGGTAGGGGTAGTGGTAGGGTGGTAGTGGGGTAGGGTGGTAGTGGGTGTAGTGGTAGTGGGTGTAGTGGTAGTGGGTAGTGGGGTGTAGGTAGGTGGGGTAGGGTGTAGGGAGGTGTATGGTAGTGGGTGTAGGTGGTGGTAGGTGTAGTGGTAGGGTGTGTGGGTAGGTGGTGTAGTAAGTGTGGTAGGGGTGTAGGGTGTGTGGGTGTAGTGTGGGTGTAGTGGTAGTGGGTGTAGGGTAGTGGTGTAGTAGTAGGGTGTAGTGGTAGGTAGTGGTAGGTGTAGCAGTACGACACTGTCATCAGAAAGAGTTATTTATGTTTTATAGTTTTGAGGGCGGACCTTCGCTACAATCTCTGGGTGTACATTTGGCCGTGTGCAAAACTTTCTTATTTACTTTGTTTGTGTGTCTTCTCCGTTCTTCCTGTTCCTTTCACTTAATTCTCTTTCTTCATCCAAACTCTTCCCATTCCCAACAAGGTCAACACTGTTTCTGTTTCTTACTACCTCCCCTCCCCCACCAAGAGATAAATTCCCCACCATTCTTCCCTCCAAGCAACTGTTTATGTTGTGGCGCATATTCTTATTTTAATGTGTCTACACTGTACAGTACATACTTTAAATTTTTGCTAATACTCCCGGTATTTTCTATTTCCACTCACATGCTAAAGCTCTCAAGGCATTCAGAAACATTCGTCCCAAACCAAACTCCATAGTACATAGTCTTGTCTCATTCCTCACGATACAATATGGCGGGAATATCGTGTCTGGTATGTGTTTTGGTGTTCCTAAGAGTTATTCCCTTGCTTACTGTCATTATTCTCTAACTTGATGTATTCCCAAAGGTGCTCTGAGAAACTTTCCTGTAACATCTACTAGTTAACAACACTCCCATGTGTATTGCTGTTACCTCTTCCTCTGGTTTGTAGGAGAGAAGGAGGCCTTTACTATGGTAATAACTCATCCATATGGTTCAATTTCCCTCGGGTATGAATGGTAAATTAGACCTGCCCAAATTTGTATATATTAGGCACATCTCAGGCGCTAATCTCCTGAGTGCCACTGACGCTATTCACTCTTTCTTGTATTCGAGAAAGACCTGGTGTGTTTTAGATTCGTCAAGAGAGCAAGCGTTCCTTCTCTTTTGTCTGTTGAAATATCTTATTCCGTTGAACAATTTGTGTAGCTTCCCCTGTGTGTGTGTGTGTGTGTGTGTGTGTGTGTGTGTGTGTCTAAAGCGTTCTCACATCTCTTAACCGAAACCCTACACCGTCTCTCTATCTCGCCTTCTCTTTGGGAGTCTCACCTCTCTTTCTCTCTCTTCTCAGACGGCGACAAGGACAGGGTCGTCGGAGAGTCGGGTGGTGTGGGTCGCCCAGCCGGAGGATAATGAGAAGGGCCTCTCCTGCACCGCCACCAATCCACGCAACCCTCTCTACTCCCTCACCAACTACACTAGGCTCCTCGTGTTCCGTAAGTAGCTCTAGTAGGCTCCTTGTATTTCGTTAGTATCCCCAACTTAATATGTTAGTAGCTCCAGGCTTCTCGTGTTCCATGAGTAGCTCCATGCTCCCAGTGTTCCGTTAGTAGCTCCAGGTTTCTCGTGTTCCATTATTGTTTGTTATTCGGAACTACTTGTACTACCTAGCTGCAGTTCATGTCTTCTAACTAGCCATACACCTACACCTCTTATTCATTAAATTTGAAGACCAATAATTTGCGTGAATGGTAACCCGCTCCTAGTATAAGAGGTACTTCCACTAATTACCTTTTCTGAAATAGATTCCCTTTTTGTGGTATGTCAATTTTTAATCAATACTTTTTGGCGCTCACAAACCTCCAGTAGGCATTATTCTATTCTTCTCAGTCCACTTTACTACCGAATGTTTGGTCACAGATCCGCCCATGGTGTCTTTATCCATTGGTCGAGGGTTGGATCCGTCCTCCATCAAAGAAGGAGTCGACGTGTACTTCACCTGCAGTGTTCAGGCCAACCCTAAAGCAGAGAAAATCATCTTCTTCCATGAGGTGAGTGATATAGGCAACAGGGTATTTTTCATGTAGAGAAGAGTGGACTTTGATCACTACTAACTTGCGAATACCACAGTTAACATGCCTGGGGGAAAACAATACGAGACTTCTTCACATATATTTTCTTAACGCTGTAGTAGTGGTATAGGAAAGTCAGCCATGGACTTTAAGCTATCCCTTAAATCCATACGTCCATGAAGAACAATAATCACAGTACTGTATAATGAAAGTTCCTAAGACATGTATAATGGTAACAGAAATTCAATAGAAATGTATTTTTATATACGCCTTTCCTTCACAGAAGTTGAGGGAAAGTTTATACATAAGGGTAGGTACACCTCTAGAGTATACATCACAACGTTTTGAACGAATTCCTCATAATATATTGCTAAAAAAAGTTCTGATGATAATGGCAAGTTGTTTGATTGTTCTTCTGAAACGTTTCTAGTATATGGTGTATACAGTATTGCTGATTGTGACTGAACACCCAGGGAAGCAGTATTATTTCTGCCATCATCCTCAATGTTGGCGCCAAGTTGACTCAAAACAATGCTGCTTCATACACTCGATCACGTGTCTCCAAGAGAACCTGTGAGATTGTTATTTTACTTATAGAAAATGAAGTGACTTTATTTCTACGCCATTATTTCCCTCCGTTGTTGAAAAGGGACAAGTAACTACATAGAAATAACGATTGAAGTTTGATGTAGGCGTACACACAAATATACACATTTAGCTAACACAGGGAGTAGGAGCTAACTTCGTGTGACGTCGATATTGCAGGGGAAGGAAGTGGTGACGGTCCGGAGAGCAGAAGGCGGGGTGTTGGTTATGGGTAGTTCCTTGGTGTTGCAGAAGGTTCAGCGAGAGGGAAGCGGCCGCTATTCCTGTAGGGCCACCAACAGTCGAGGCTCTCACACCAGCAACTTTGTCCGTCTCGATGTCCTATGTGAGTTATGTCTTGTGCTGTGAAAATCACTTTATATACTGAGCGTCATTTCTCTTCTATTTTATTTTAATGTGATTTAAAATTTCTTCACCAAAGTTTTAACGGACTCCAGATATTTCACCATTCTTTGCACATGGAGTACCTCACAGTCTTCATCGTCTAATCCTTTAAGCCTTTGTAGTATTATACCTAATGTCTGCCTCTTTGTCCACTCAATGACGATCCCAAGAAAACCGAAATCAATAGTTCCCTCACAGTAGACCCCGAGTTTATCTGGTACTCTTTCTTAGATCATCCCAGGGAACATCTTCTCATACTCTGGGGATCACAAATGACCCTCACACTGATCCCTTGCCTATCCTCACCATAGACAACCCCGAAAGTTCATCCTGTTTCCTCTATAGACGAGCCTCGGTGTTTGGTGAAGAACCAAATGGTGACTGTAACGCCTGGAGAGAATGCCACGGTAGAGTGTGGTGTTGACGCCTTCCCCCCGCCGCACCATTTCTCCTGGTCTCTCAACGGCACCGGAGGCTTGAAAGACGTGCCCAAAGAGGAGGTAAGGCCATCACATTTTGGTCAGCGGATGATCCTGTACTCTGCTTTTCTCTAGCCAGGATTTACTTTGCACACACACACACACACACACACACACACACACACACACACACACACACACACACACACACACACACACACACACACACACACACACACAGCAACGGCCATGCTTGTACACCGATAGCATAGCAGACACCAGGAGTCCTACCCTTGATAGTATTAGAATAATATAATTAGAGGAATCGGGAGTGCCGTCCTGACATACCTAGCAGAAACCAGGTGTGACGTGACACCTTGGCACCAATAACCAGGGGTGCCGCCTCAACACGTACAGTAAAGCAGGAAGCATGAGCGCCATGTTTATGTCGGCATGAGTTTAGAGGCTCTTTGTACCACCATTGTATTGAGATTCTATTTCGTACTGCCGCCTCCAGTTCTGACCAGAATTATGTTCAATATCAATAATTATATTTCGTGTTTTCTCCTTATATGATACTGACTGGCACACAGGGATACATGTTATAGTTCTCGAAATATCAACTATTTCATAACTGTAATCCTCTTTCCTTTACATTACTGTTAGACCTTTATCTCTCTGTCCCTTAGTCGTTCTCCCTCACTTACCTTAACCTGTACGTTCTCCTCCACTTACCTTCACCTGTACGTTATCCCTCATTTACCTTCACCTGTACGTTCTCCTCCACTTACCTTCACCTGTACGTTCTCCCTCACTTACCTTAACCTGTACGTTCTCCCTCACTTACCTTCACCTGTACGTTCTCCTCCACTTACCTTAACCTGTACGTTCTCCCTCACTTACCTTCACTTGTACGCTCTCCCTCACTTACCTTAACCTGTACGTTCTTCCCCAGTACGAGTCCACAGGCAGCACTTCACGTTTCACCTATGCCACACCGTTAACCTTAAAGAAGATAAACATCCTGTGCTGGGCCGCCAACAAGCTGGGCTCCGTACGTCAACACTGTACCACCACGCTCATTGCTGCAGGTAAGTTCACTCCACCACCAGTATTATCAACACCTGTAGCCAAGAGCAAGAAACTTCAATAATACGAAGGGTAGATTTTTTTTTCTCAGGATATCTATATTGAAGTACCTTTCTCTTTGGGTAAGTAAAGTCTGTTGTTTGTTCATTTGTGATTTTATGGTACATATTTACTGATGTTTTATATATTTACAAAACCAATGTGAAAATTCTATATTTTTTACGGTGCACCACAAGAAGCATCAGCAATACATGGAACTATCGGGGGATGTAGTTATATTTAATCCATAACTGAAACACACACACACACACACACACACACACACACACACACACACACACACACACACACACACACACAGATACTTAATGTACTGCATCAAACGTAAAATATCTTATCACCTCGGGAACAACACAGACAAGTTGAACTTTCATATTAACTCAGCTCAGGAGGATTGTATTTTACACTGTCCTTATGCAGATTCACCTTTGAAAAATGTAAACAATATTACTAATCCTACATATGAGTTACTTATAAATGATTGTGGGAGAAAAAACACAAATTACTTATTTTCACTCTGGCAGATGTTTCTTGTTCCGTAGCTGATCGGTAATTTAGCCGAATGTAACTTAACATTTACAAGAGGAGTGGAGGTATATAGTTAAGTGTTTGTGTCCCCAGGTGTACCAGAGCCAGTGGAGAGTTGTGATGTGGTGGAGGAACGAGTGTCCTCCCTCAGGGTGTCCTGCACTCCGGGCTTTGACGGCGGCCTCGAGCAACATTTCATTGCTCTGGTGAGTATTGCTTTTGTACCTCGGTGTTGCTCTAGTAGTTTTTATATAAATTTTACCCAAGACAAGGTCCTTCGATTCCAAATGTGATATAACAACAATTATTAGGTTACTATTTGCTCGTCCGTCCGTCCGTCCGTCGACCTTGACAGAGTGTTGCAGCCGTGATTCAGTGGATTTCTTTCTAACATTGCAACAACGCTTCTCACCTTCCGGGAATGTTACTCTATAAAAATAAAATATATATTAAATTCAAACCAGCTCAGTATGGAGTAGCTGCTATCGGTTAATTAGGAATAATTCACATAAGCATATATATATATATATATATATATATATATATATATATATATATATATATATATATATATATATATATATATATATATATATATATATATATATATATACTTGTGTCGTGTCTGGTGAAAGACATCCTTTTAACCTGACTTGTCTTCTTCTCATCCTCCATACAGGTGGTGGAGCCACAAACGGCCCGGGTGGTGGCCAACGTGACAGCTGTAACACCAGAGTTCAGTATCGGTGGGCTCGCTCCCGGGCTGGACTATGCGGTCAAGGTCTTCTCCTACAACAGTCGGGGCTGGTCACCGCCTTACCTCCTCCAAGGCTTCTCACTTAAGGTTGCCGAAAACCGGATGGGTAAGTGTTTATCTTTCTGGGTCACTTCACCTTACTGGCTGTTGTATCTTACAGGTTTTCATAAAAAAAAGTTTTTGTTTTATTTTCATTTATTTTGTTAAAAGGTTATAGAGTTGACATCTTATAATTAAAAATACTAATCCTAATGGTTGGGTATAGAACAATTACTTTACATTTAACATATGCCAGGTTAAAAATGATCCCTGGATGAGGTGGATTAGAATGCAGTCGTCTCCTAAACGATCGTCCCATATGTTCGTACATCATAAAGTCCCTTTAAGGTTTTCCTGTACTGCTGCTCGTACATTTATTTTGTGGATCTTTATAGCCTTTCTCTCTCCTTTTTCCCTCTGTTTCTGTTCCCATTCTCTCTTTTTTGACATTCTTTTCGTCTCTTTGACTGTACCCGTCTGTTTGTGTTCTCACTACCTGTATATATATATATATATATATATATATATATATATATATATATATATATATATATATATATATATATATATATATATATATATATATATATACAGTATATTATATTGTGCGATTGAGCGCTATAACTGATTAAACATTTACTGGATACACCTACTCTATGGTGACCTATACATAGACAGGGCCTTCCACTTAAATCGAAAACAGCAAAATGTTTCTAACCGGATCTACAGAACAAAAATGTCAGGATCAGTCGGTCTCAACGCCTGTGTCACTATAAAGAGGGAAGAAAAACACTGTATTTTAGGCATCACGAAACCCAGCATAAAGCAGAACTACTAGAAAAGGACATTTACTGAGTGTTTCAGTAGCTCTACTTCTCACACATTGAAGGTTAACAACTAACAAACACAAATAATTTTAACCCTGAGTGAGTTAATAAGCTGGTGCTGTGGTCGATCCACGTCCAGCACAAATACTTCAGTGAAACAACTAAGACAATTACATCGTAACATCATAAATTGGTGAGGACACACTGAATGAGGAAATAGGTAGGAGTGAAATTGGAATTAGGATGTGTTGGCAGTAGGTTGTGTGTCCATACCGTATGTTCCAGTGATAACAGAACATCTATCGTGTGGTGTGAAGATATTCAAGAGAAATTGCAGCTGTAGTATGTGATCTAGAATGAAGGATACAGTCGTAGCCTAAGTGCATTCCAGTGCATTGCTTGTGACTGCCCGCAGACAGCAAACTTGTCACACTATTACGCTTCCCTTCCTTCCACGAATCAGTTACAGACACTGAGGCTGTGCTATAGCCAAACACCCACCTTCCCGCCACCGGCCACAGACAAATTGGCCGGCACACGAAATCCGACAGTAATTCTTCTCTGCAAGGAGCGAGGAGTCAACCAGTGGACGGGTGGTCGTGTTTTACCGCCCCTTGGACCCATTACATAGCTCCCAAGAGAGGCACCCCAGGAGTAGATAGTGGGAGCTCTAGTGTGTCCACCCTTCCCCGGGACTGTTGCCCAATCCTCCAGGGAGACACTCACCAGTCAGCCAGTCTTTGGCTGATTCATTTTTGTTATTCTACGGGATGGTAAAATAGTGTCCAGAACCTGTTCACTATCCATTTTTTTCTTACGTTTACGAAACCAAAATAGTTTTATTCAGGTGCAGGTAAAGGAGGCATGGGTTTACATCTGTGAGCATGATGCTGTTCCGCTGCCTCTCAGGGAACAATCATAGCGAACACGATAAAGTTAACGCATTAATTTAGCCGCATGTGAAATAGATGAGCTTCTATGGAAATCAGGAAGGTGTATAGTCAGAGCTGACGTTGACCCCCAGTCTGCTCATTTTCATTCATTTCTATCTATCATTAGTAAACATTTTTTTCAGAATTTCCGAACAGTTTACTGCACAAAACAAGAGCACAGAGATACAATATTAGGCCGGGGTTGGAATGTATAATAATTTCGACTTCTCTATAATGTTATTAAATGAAAGATCTTCATCCCACTTTTACCTTAGCTCAAACACTAAGACAGTTACTAATTAGAACGCCATTACAGAATACGTTATAGGAACTTCCCCTTACAAGAGGCTTAAGTACTGGTGAACAAGTTGTGTATAGTTAATAATTATCGAGATTAATTGAAGACTAGAGTTTGGGAAGACGTACAAGAGTTGGCCAACACTAAGTAGACGCCTAACACTTAATAACTCACGGCATTAACCAACTTCTGGACTCTCATAATCACTGTACCTTCCTTCCTGCCTTCCATCCTTCCTTTCTTCTTTTCTTCCTTCCTTCCTTCCTTCCTGCCTTCCGTCCTTCCTTTCTTCTTTTCTTCCTTTCTTCCTTCCTTCCTTCCTTCCTTCCTTCCTTCCTTCTCCAGTCTTCTTATACAATTTTATCTCCAAGGTTAAAAAACGCGGATGAACACGAAAGGATAACGAACCTTATTATTGTGTTGTTGTCATTTTAACTGTGCTAAAAGAATAACAGTCCTTCCGCGCGTTCGACACTGTGTTAAGGGTACCGTTACGTCTTACAAGCCACACTTACTAAATTATCATAACGGTTTATAATAAAATAATAATACATAGTAAAACTGGTAAATGACATTGACTTAAAACACACTAACTACACCACTAAGACGCACTACATACTCATTATACCTGTATATGTAACCCACACTAATTATGCACCTTCTGGGATACACACACACACACACACACACACACACACACACACACACACACACAATATTTGGTTAATAAGGAGTCAAACTAGTAGCGAGTCGAAATATTCATCACTATGGAAATTATCTGGGACACCTGAGTAACAGTCAATCACTACTCCGCCTCAGATTGTTTTTTATATATATCAGGAAGGTGTTGGAGTCTTTGTTTAATCTCTTATCGAGGATTGACCTGAACAGCTTAGGGCCGTGCTCGTTCTTGGTCTAATTTTATTATAATTTATCCTAAATATATAAAAAAGTTTAATTTTTCAATGATACAAATGATTTAAATTTGGTGTCAATGCGGTAGTGTGAAGGAGAAATTTTGATCTTGTGAATCTCTAGTTAAACTAATATAGTTCAACTGTCAAATTAAAAAAAAATGTAATTGGCGTTTAACGAATATGAACATAATGGAGGATTTTGTTTTGTATATCTTCTGTTAAAATTTGAATTGGGCAACATGCATTAATTCCTCGTATGACATTTTACCTCAATTTTGTCATAAAGCAAATCAGTGATCCCAAATTTTATTTTTCTCAAATAGTCTGTTGCGTACTACTTGTGATTTCATGGATATTAATTAAAATCTTCAGAAAAATGACAGCAATTAAAGGCATTTGGTAAGTATCAGTAAAGGAATTGTGTCTTGATTAAATTTTTTTCTTTAATCTTGTTTTGTCAGATTCGGGTGGTGGAGGGCCAGGTAAGGGGGCGTCGCCTCTGCTGGCTCTCTTCATCGGTGTGTTGGCCGCTTTCGTTCTTACACTTACCGTCATTATCGTGGCCACTAAGCTGAGGTGTCGGGCTAGAGCTACGGCCAGGGACGACGGCGATGGTACAGCGGGGAGGAGTGACGATAGCGAGGATGATGAGACACGAGGGGTGGCCAACCTACAGAGTGGGGGAAACGCCAGAAGAAACTCGGTAGAAGTGAAGCTTATGTCTGTAGTAAGGCAGGAGGAGGATGAAATAGCAGAGGAAGCACTCAAGCAACAGCCACTGGGACTCACTCCATCACAAGACCTAGGTTAGCTTCTCTTAATGAGCATTTTTACTCGATTTTGTTTATGTCCTGCTTACTAAATTGGTGTCTATCTTCAAATTTACCCTTTTCTCATATTTTTTATTTTCCTCTTGTTGAAAAAATATGAAGTACTGTTAAGGTTCTGACTTAAGAAGAAAAAGTGACAATGTTTTTTTCTCTCAGTCAACAATCTCTATTTCTTTCCTCTCGTTATAAGATTGTACAGATGGCGTATCTATACTACATATTCACTTTCGATTACAAAATATCATAAAATACTTGGACATTAATTACAATATTTCCATCTTCTGTACTGATGTTAGAAGTATTGAACACATGTAGTAAATATGCGGTTCCTTCCCACTTCAAGATTTTTTAACTGAGTATTGTGTGTGGAGAGTGAAAGCTTCGATTCATACTGTACGTCACCAACATAAATGAAGATATTCAACATTTACCTGGGCTGAGTTATTCAGGGCTATCGAGTCTATACACTGGCAGTTTATACATATTTCATCTCGCTGTTGAGGTTATAAATATTATGTGAAGTATTAGTGAATGAACACACAGGATGCGTTGTTTTTCTTCTACAAAACAGTATACGTGGTAATTCCCTTCATAAGGATCATGCAAGAATTATTGTGTCGTTATAATTTGCAGAAAACAAAAACCATACACAGTGCATAATGTAAGTACTGTAATGTGTTGTATAAAATTGTTTAGGTAATGATTATGGGTCGGGCTATACAGTTGATAACATGGTTTATGTTATGTACAGTATCTCAAAAATGTATTTGTCCAAACATAAGTAATGCAATGTGTATTTATTTATTCGTAATTAATATTGTGTTCGGTTATCAAATGTAGCAGGATCAGTATGCCACGGAGCCACACATACCAGGAAGGGCAAAAGCTGTGACAGTCATGGTTAGGTTAGGTGGTTACCCATGACACTAAATTGGGATAATTACCGATAGCGATAGCACATTACCATCAACCTCGACCAGAGTAACAAATGGCTCTCCTACACAGGTTCACCTCGGGAGTACACCCAGCTGGAGTCTAAGCCGACGTCTGAGTCTCTCTACAGTTCCTGTAATAGTAACCGGGTAAATGTTCATTTTATTTGCCTATCTCTCTTTACATGTTTATTCAGAGATTTTTCACTCTAGTGTCCAATTCTGCCTTAATCTTCTGCTCTTATCTTCTTTCTATCTAAGCTCTGTGTTTTGCACGTTTCTCAACCTTATTCGTCTCCATTACTTGAGTCTTCTTTATCTCGAATTAACTAATGACTTTTTGACCGCCCCCCCCCCTCCTCTCGCTCACCTCCAAATCGTTTCGACTCTGTCTCTAACAACTTATTACTTATATACGTCACACCTACTCACTCCCCAGTACTGCACAGCATCATCTCAATTTTCTTCAATAATTTTTTGCTTACTACCCATAGATCTCCACACAACACAAAAAGTAACTTGATGCATGACATGAATCATTACTGTGATAATGTCTTCATATGCTGACAATTTATGTCTTTAACAATATTAACTATTATTTTCATCCTTCCAGTGTGGTATCGGCTACTCCACGGAGTCAGCCATGCTGCTGTCTTCCTCGCCCTCAGCTTGCAGCGCCACCGCAGGGGTTTTAGGTGGTTTACCCTGTGCTACTAGCAGCACTGGTGGTAGTGGTGGTACTGGTATGAGTGTAGGAGGTGTGGGGATGATGGGTGTGATGTACGGTTCACTGGGACGCTCTCTGGGCCAGTCCTGGGGCCAGTACAGCACCCTCACCCGTCCCCCACCCCCTGCCCATGACCCGGGAGCAGAGTCACGTTTCCACACGCTCTCCACCACCTGCACACGACGCCCCAGCGAGAGCTTCGTGTGATGAATGGTTCATCCTACGTCGTGTATGTGACAATTGCCTCTACTTTTGCGTCATGTTTGTGACTTCTGGCTCTTAGCGGTTGCTGCATCATTTCGGTGGAGCAAAAAAGAGATTAGAATACTTTTTTCGAGTTTCCAATTTATACAGGAGTGCGGAAGTTGCCAATTGATAACAGTATGAAACTGAGAAAACTTAGATCCTGATAGATTCAGCGTGGCCTGCCCGTCACCCGGAAGTTCCTTTCAAAAACATTGAATAATTCGGTCCACTCGTCGCTGATTGGAGTTATTGTTTTAATCATATCAGCCAAAATTCACCACGAGGAAGTAGCTAGTCATTCGACATCCATTATTCGACATCCATTTGTGCCTATCCAGCCACTCAACCATAACGTGAGCACTTAGCGATAGCGATTTATGTATGTTGCACAATTTGGAATTCAGCTCTTAGAGTGAAAGGTTTGACACGACACACCTGATGGAACGGATCAGTATACAGAACACCTTAATTGTTTGTTTTAAATGTGTTGTAATTGGAAGTTCTCTTCGAATGCTATCTTGCTGTCTGATCACATCAACATAGCCTGTTGCTGCAAGAATAATCTCTTGGTATGATGAATTTCAGGAGACCAGTTTGTTGGCCAGTTTGACGTTTTGCGATGCACATAATGGCTAACTCGTAGATGTGTGGGCGTTCATCAGCCAGAATCACCAACAACACGTTCTCATGCTTGGCGAAATAACACCTTGTCGCAACCAACTTCTCATTGTCGATGTTTTTACTATCAAGGAATATAATTGATGCTCTCTGTGAGGCCAACAGTAGTTCCAGAAGTAGAGAACACAGCCGATGTGTTCTTCTCTTACCACTTTGTGTTAGTACTCGCCTCTTCTTTTCACCACGGTCTTCGTTTAATCTTTACTGCTGTCGAAGGATTGTTGTCGCACCTGCTGACGAAGATAAAAGATTCTCCTACAGATTGTCTCTCTACTTTCTGATTTTGTTGTGACTACCCCGTGCAGATGAAAATGTATTTCTGTAGTCGATCACAATCAAATCTTGTCAAAGGTGTGGATACAATTTGAGCTGCAATATCTCTTCTGTTACATTTTCTTGCTAATTTGGGACATGAAAGTTTTGTTTTAGTGGATATGCTGTTGAGTTTCGTTCTTGTCCCTGTGATTCTATATGATGCTGACGAGCCAAACATCAACTTACACGAAGCAAACAACACCCGAGTCTTACATGGCAGGGTAAAATAACTAGATTCCGAATAACAGCTCATAAAGATAAGTAAGAGTTCAGCAATATCCAGGAGAAGTTTGTCAGACTAGCAGGACCTGAGAGACGTGTGCCAAACGAACAAGACCTGATAGTCTTATGTTTCACCAACAGACCTGATAGACATGTGTTAAATGAACAGGAACTTTGAGATGTACATCGGATCAGCATGATATTAGAGATTACATCAGGTCAATAGGACAGTCATCTACTGCAAAGGACAGACACTCGTCAGAACTTAAACTTGTGCTTACTTTATGGGTGAGTGAGGATTGATCAAATAGATAAAATTTTCCCCTTTTATATAGTATGACTTTATTACCATTAGCACACATTATGATTATTAGGAACCCAGTTAAAGGTTAGATAATTTTTTTCTTTAAGTATTTGTCGTTGGTGCAATACACGACTTTTGTGTTATAAGCGTATAATGGACGATTGTTGTCTTCTACTATATAGAATTGATCTGTCACCGCCAGGCATGATTGGCTCCTCAGTAGATACACACCTCAGTAAGTGCTTCCTCTATTCTCTGCCCTACGAGAAGTTGCACAAGGGTCAAAACTGGCGCAACTGTATATGGTTAGTGTTTATTTATAAGTTTATATAGGATCAAACATGAATTTCACAGGAATTGAATATTATAACACAAATGTAATTTCCATGTATATATTTTTTTCTATGAATCATTGCGCTTGGTGTAGTTACGTAACTAGGATGGCGTGCGAGGGAATTTTAGTTTAATCTCAGAAATAACATTAAGGAGTTGACTTATACTTAAGGAGAGAGGCGCTAGTTGAGGTGGTGTTCATATCATTACGTTAAGGAGGTGTTATGTTATGTGTTCAAATTGGCATAAACGATGAAACTATTACTGTGATATTTTCCCGTAATTGGTTATATTTAAAACTGTTTTATGTGGGTGTGCTCGGGACCCATTCTTACCATCGACTTAAGCCCACGTATAATACCATTGGTTATGACTAAGGTGCTATACAGTGATGGGAAAGACAAGATGATGGTGACATGAATGTACTTGACACTCCCACACACCTCATGGTATTCAACTCAGAAATACCAATGTATATCTCCAATATAAATATTGTTTACTCTTGGTAATAAAAGGTCTTTTCTTGTCATTAATTTTGATTTAAAACTTATAATTTCTTTTTGTTTACAAGCTTTTGTTAATCAAATATTATTGAAAAATATAATACGATGAATTGCTTTAAAATGAAACTGTTAATAGTTATGAATTTTATAATTAAATTATATCAAACCTATAAATTAAAGTGAAAATTTTCCCAAGTTGAATGATGACACAGTGACTTCTTTTCCTCCTCCACTGCACTACAAGGTGAGGATAATAATGACATAGAAAGTAGAGTTGTACTTTATAGTTAAATATCACAACCTTTGGCCTCGAGGGGCTCTCATAGGTGATATTTTACACTTGGTAATAATAAAACAAGTTGAAAGTGTTGAGGGGATCACGATAAGCCGTAGCTCAAGGCCTAAAATATAAGTCACCGCTGTAAATCCTCTACACAGGTCGCTGACACATCACTCAAAACGGCGCTAAAACTATACTCGTATTTAAGTGTTGCTCCGTTCTCGAACACAATACTTCCCAGTCACTAATACAGTTGTTCCAGTTATTAACACAGATGTTCAAAACACTAGCACTATTGCATCAGTCAATAACACAATCATCCCCAGTCACTAACACAGTCATCCCGGTCACTAACACCGCCCCAGTCATTATCACAGTCGCCCCAGTCACTAACACAGTCGCCCCAGTCACAAACACAGTCGCTCCAGTCACTAGCACAGTCGCCCCAGTCACCAACACAGTCGCCCCAGTACAGTAGCACAGTCGCCCCAGTCACCAACACACAGTCCAGTCACAGTCACAGTCGCCCCAGCAGTCGCCCCAGTCACAGTCACAGTCAGTCGCCCCAGTCGCACAGTCACAGCACCAGTCGCCCCAGTAACACAGTCAGTCACTCACAAACACAGTCGCCCCAGTCACTCACAGTCACTACACAGTCGCCCCAGTCACTCACAGTCGCCCCATCACCAACACTGTCAACCACAGTCGCCCCAGTCATACCACAGTCGCCCCAGTCACTACCACAGTCGCCCCAGTCAACACAGTCGCCCCAGTCACTCAACACAGTCGCCCCATCACTAACACAGTCGCCCCAGTCACTAACACAGTCGCCCCTCAACACAGTCGCCCCAGTCACTACACACAGTCGCCCCAGTCACTAACACAGTCGCCCCAGTCACCAACACAGTCGCCCCAGTCACTAACACAGTCGCCCCAGTCACTAACACAGTCGCCCCAATCACTCACTCAACACAGTCGCCCCAGTCACTAACACAGTCGCCCCAGTCACTAACACAGTCGCCCCAGTCACTAACACAGTCGCCCCAGTCACTAACACAGTCGCCCCAGTCACTAACACAGTCGCCCCAGTCACTAACACAGTCGCCCCTTATATCACAACAACCATTAAGACAGCTCACACCACAGTGCCAATATTAGTGTTGTAGGCGCCAATATGACAGGGGGCAGGTGTCTTACTCTCCTGCACCAGCCAGGGTCACCGCTTTAATTGTCTCGGTTAATATCACAGCTGTCAGTCGCCGTGGATCGCAACCTTCCTCTCATTTGTCTTCAATCAAAATGAAAAACCTCTGTAGGAACTATGGACAACGAGAACATTATCAGGCATTATTCATTACTTATGTGGTAATAGGAGCCACACACACACACACAGCGCAGGAATTATCTGGCTCATTGTTTATAAATTGAACGACTGCTGACGGCTGATGGTATACCTAAGATGTCGCTGACTATATAAAGAATTAAGAGAATGAAAATAGAGTTGTGACTTATATTTTGGGTTTGAACGACGGAGTAGTTATTATATACAAATACATATATAAATATAAATAAACATATAGCCTCTGGTGCCTCTAATACTTGGCTTAGATGGTTTTATATGGTGTTGAGAGGTGTGTGGCGTGAGGCGTGCGGCCCGTCGATGGTCGCCGTGCATGTAAGTCTTGTGCATATGTATGGTGACGTCATACGCAACATAATGTACATTGGGGTGATTTTGTAAATTAAATGTTGTCTAAGATCGTTGTTTTTCTTCTCCTTGTCAACTGCCACAGATCTATTAATATGCTGTAAAAACCTTACAATAAATTTTCTGTATTATCTTTTGGAAACTTCTGACTGGTAATGAACGATCATGTAAATCATATAAATGCACATAAATTAATAGTTTTTCAAAACCCAACCTACTTTAGGTATAATTTTGCTAGCTTATGATAGTACAGTAAATGACGCCTTAAATTAATCATATAAAATTGTACTGTATACGAAGTGATTTTCATCGAATTATAACAATAAAAACAAAAAAAAAAATATCTCTATTCGTCAAAATCTTGAGTTTCCTTTTAAGGCTTAACCGGCAATTATCTCTATTTAGCGTGACATGTATACTGTAGGCTATAACTCGACTAGGCAATGGTAGCACCTGTGCCGATTGTATCTAGTGTACACAGCTCCCAGTCTTCCGCTCCTTTGAACAGTCCGGAGACCACCAGAACACGAATCGTCTAAGTTCTTGGTATTGATTTCAGACCTACTCCACGCCAATCGATATCTTGCTCTGGTCTATAAACCGGGTCCAGTTTACCCTGTCCAGTTAATTACGGTTCCCGGACAGATGGCCGAAGGACGTTTCACCGACGAACATTTGACCGAACGGACATCGAGCCGACGGACATTTGGCCGAACGGACAATAGACCGAACGGACAATAGACCGAACGGACAATAGACCGAACGGACAAATGGCCGAACGGACAATAGACCGTCAAGCAAAAGCCTTCTTCCTCCTCATGTCGTTGGTATGAATTCCATGGTCTTAAAAGAAACAAATACTAAAAAAAAAAATTGTATATCATGCAATTGTGTCACATTGAAATTATGTTATCTTTTTATCCTTTGTTTTATAAAGCAAATACATTGCAAAGAAGCAATTACATTACAATAAATATCTTTTATCCTTTAGTAAATGTGCAAAATATACCTTGCAAAGAAGAAAGAAAAATAAAAATAAAATTAAAAAGGCCATATGTCCATTCGGTCAAATGTCCGTTCGACCATTTGTCCGTTCGGTCTATTGTCCGTTAGGCCATTTGTCCGTTCGGTCTATTGTCCGTTCGGCCAAATGTCCGTCGGCTCGATGTCCGTTCGGTCAAATGTCCGTCGGTGAAACGTCCGTCGGCCAAATGTCCTTCGACCATCTGTCCGGCCACAGTTAATTACCTTTTTTGGGGAATGAAACGTGTATTTTGCCTATAATCTCTTCAGAGTTCGTCCTGAACTTTCTAATCGACGATACGTGCTCCAGAGACGCCAATGTTGGGTATCCCTAAGAGGGTTTCCCGGCCGAAATATGGATTTTTCCTGAAAATATCAACACATGATATTTGGGCTGAAAATTTTAATTGTACCTAAAATCTCAGCAGAGGTCGTCATCAACCTTCTGATCGAAGTTCTGGGGTCCAGAGGCGTCAAGAGAAACCCCTAGGAGCAGTTTTGGGTCGAAAATTTTATTTTGCCCTAAATCTTGGGGTCAACACTGAGACCCTTGGCTCTTTGGTCATACCGGGGGTCAACACTAGGCCCTTACCACTCCATGGTCACTTCTCTAGGGGTCAACATGGGTGGTAAGCGGGTAACGAGGCCAGAGTGTGAGAAGTGAGGGTATTGGTCAGGATAGCAGCCAACGAGGGAACATGGGAGGAATAATTGGGTCATATGAGTCCAATATTGAGGTGTTATCCCCAACGTCGCCGCGCAGCTCCAGGTAAGACCACCTCTCACACGGCTAATTGTTCCGCTTACCTCTTAAAGGTGACTTACACTCGTGTGACTTATAGCAGCGAGAGCCGGAGATGACCACCATCACGGGGGAGAGATGAGAGGTGTTAGAGAGGCGAGGTACGAGTGTGTGTTTGTTGTCAGTCGTAAATGGTGGGAGTTGAGAGGTCTAGCTTGTGATGGTTGTAGTGTGTGAGTGGTGTGGTTTGTGATTGGTGTGATTTGTGATTGGTGTGGTTTGTGATTGGTGTGATTTGTGATTGATGTGGTTTGTGATTGGTGTGATTTGTGATTGGTGTGGTTTGTGATTGGTGTGATTTGTGATTGGTGTGGTTTGTGATTGGTGTGATTTGTGATTGATGTGGTTTGTGATTGGTGTGATTTGTGATTGGTGTGGTTTGTGATTGGTGTGATTTGTTATTAGTGTGGTTTGTTATTGGTGTGATCTACTAAAAACCAAACTGAGAATAATCATTTTTAATTCCGGGTAAATGGCAGGTACACCATTTAATCAACCTCGACCTCATTAAATTTACTACATAATAAAGGTGTGGGACTTAAGCTTACCTATGTGTGGAAAAATTATTCCTTTTCCTTCTGTATCTTTAAACCTGACCATTATTTGGGGTAATTTATCCTCACACTTGTAAACCTAATGTCCTTTATTCCTCATTCATAGAAAAAAAATTCCAACCACATATTAAATTATATTGCAAGATGAATAGAGGTTTCAATTATATCAGAAACACAGAGAAATACAACTCCTAAATAACATAACCATGGTATTATTTTATTCACACACACACACACATATATATATATATATATATATATATATATATATATATATATATATATATATATATATATATATATATATATATATATATATATATATATATATATATATATATATATGATAACCACAAGGAAAGAAGAAAACACGAAGTTCTCAAGCGCTTTCGTGTAATTCACATCTTCCAGGGTGAGTACGAACTTCGTGTTTTCTTCTTTCCTTAGCACCCATAGTGATTTACTTGCATATATATATATATATATATATATATATATATATATATATATATATATATATATATATATATATATATATATATATATATATATATATGTAACATCCATCTAAATAAACTGTTTAAATTTTAAGTTAGTGACACCACAATTAACAACCACTTTATTAACTGAGAATAGATCTGATAGTCATTCAATTAACTGACAACACAGACAGTCACTCTCTTGCACAGCTGACGGACGGGCTTTCAACCAGATGATACTAGAGCTCATTATCTACACTACTAGGTGACACAGAAGTATTACCTCTCGTCACTATAAGAAACGGATTCATAAGGTTCGATTACAGTGAAACAAAGTGAATCCATCGAACCAATTACGACAGAGGTGGCGATACTTAGGTATTTATGTAAATAATTGTGTATATTTTGGGTTTGGTGCTATAAGTAACTAAGAATTACTTAGTTTAGTATTATTTGTCATTACTAAAGTACAAAGCATAACAATATGTAAGAACATGACGTGTTGTGTATTCCTCCGCGTACTTCATACCAACACCGAAGCAAGTAGCCGAGGTGCTAACACTGAAAATAGGAGTGAGAACCTAGAAGCCGAGGAGTGTGGTGCACAACGCTGAGTGTAGGCACAAACTGCTGTCACACCTAGACCCTCGAGTGTACCTAATTACAAGACCAGCCCGGAGTGATTATTTAGAAACTTAGCATTATAAACTTTTTACGAAATATTTACAACGTATACCGAGACCTGGATCCACCATATGGACGTTACTCCAGGCCCGCTGAACAGGACAAGAGCCTCGCTATCTACCAAGGCTAAGTACCCTATATTATGACTTCTGGCGGCCAGTAGTATATATTATATGGGGGAATTATAGGTTAGCGTTACGTCGCATTATAATCACAAACATCCAGTAAGTTCTCATAGTAATTC